TACTTGCATGTCAGTATAGTCTAGCAACTTTTGTTTGGGTTTGATCTTAATTAGTGATTTGGTATGAGATTTGATTTTAATTTTTGAGTTTATTAGTTACAACCTGTATTAAATACAATTTATTTCAATTGTTGAAATTCGTTTTATTTTCATTATACGACTATGCAAGTGTTTTTTTTATTGTTATTATGTTTGTCTCTTCACGGAAATATTGATTTTCCCTCCGGTTGTAAGCTCTTAGTATATATACACAGTATATATATCTCCAGAGGTTGTGAATTTTGAAATTTTTTTCGCGATTTTTTCAGTTTTTGCTACAATTTTTTTATTATAAAAAAACAATAGTGTGTACATTTTTTGAGGTAGAAATCGAGAACTTATACACTGCTATAAAAGAAATATCTTAATTCAAGACGTTAAAAGTATATTCATTAGAATGTTTTTTTCGAAAAAGACAGATGTTAAAGATACTCCAATTTGAATTTTTATAATTCGCCATTTTGGATCTTTTTTCTTTTTCGGTACATTTACCCTATAAAAAATTTTAAAAATTTAGTAGAATGTCCTCTATAAAGGAAAATAATATATTTTTTACAATATCTAATTTCGTATCGTTTACGTATTCTTTCACTTTTTCGGATGATAAATTTTCAATAAAAAAAATAGTTAAACAATAATTTTCTATATGGAATTAGTAAAAATGGAAATTGATTTTTTTTATTGGAGTTTTGTTAAAGTGAGAATTATGTTTTGTTGAACGAAAATTGAAGAAAATTCAGACGTCCTTTCTGAGGGAAAATAAGTAGAACAAACTGTCGGATAAGACGATGGGCTGTCTGACGGTTTCTTCTACTTAGCCTTCCCGTCTGACCAGTACACCCGTTACTACTGACATGCTTTTGTTGAGTTCTTTAGCTACTAACTGGAATTTATTTTCTATTTTCAAATAATTAAAAGCGTCGAGAGTATTGTTTCAAATTGAATATTTTTGTGTCAAGGCAGTGGTCGGTAAAATTTTTATTAAAATACGTGTCTGTTGTAATTACAACGATAATTATAAATAATAATAATGTTAGAAATGAATCTTGAAGGAAAATTTAGGACTCATTAAGTTCAACACATTAGGTTAATTAATTAATATACATAATTACACTGAAAAAAGTGATGCGGCAAATCTTGACATACGAGATGGTTGGAATTTTTGTTTGTACTATATAAATATGTATAGAGTCTAATAATATTTTGGATCCATTTCAATCTGCGGCTATAGAAATGGATTAAATACTCAAACACTTTTACTTAGGATTACTGATGACATACCTGATGCTGTTGGTAATAGGAAAGTAACTAGAATTATTATTTTGATTTTAGCAAGGGTTTTGACATGGTTCTTTATACTTTTTTGTTAATAAAATTGAATTCTTGTGGTTTGTCAGCGTCTGTTGGTTTGCATCCTATTTGTCTTGTAGAAGGCAGTCTGTTTATGGACAGAATGGTAAAAATCTGAATGGTGTCCTATTGGAATAGGCGTCCCACAGGCCTCGGTATTGGGTTCCTTATGTTTATATACTTTTACAAATGATTTCAAAAGTGTTCTTCAGCATACATTTAAAATAAGTTTTTGAATCCAATTTTAAAAAAAAAATTTATACAATATTGTATATCTTTAAAACTAACGTTAGCAATAGGTAGGCACTTGGTGAAATAAGATTTGGGGATACTGCTTACTAGCAGAAGTCTATAAATTCTTATGCTTGTTGTAATTTCTGGTATAGCAATTAAGTATGAGTTCATGATACAGCTGAATATGAGACTTTTATAAAAGGGGTAACGCTTAATTACTAAAGGATAACGACGAGTTGAACACCAAATTAAGACTAACAAGTATAAGGTGGACCACGAAATTTAATGCAGGGGGCATTGTAGTGCAATGGCTCTACCGACCAAGCAAATGAATGGAATTACTTGCCGTTAGTGTGGTAGGTTTATGCGGTAACAAATAATGTTCTCGTTCATCATAATATTTTATGCTCGCGACAGGCGAAATTGATGTGATTCACAGTGGTCGGAGAGAGAGCTTATTTTATGCGAAAAATGGTAATTTTCAAATTGCGATAAATTAAACTAGATAAAGCGATTCTTTCTCACAAGTGTGCAGCATTGATTTCAGAACTGATCAGTACCTACAATGAAATCAATTGGACATTTTTGTTTCTTTAGCCCAACTACAATAGTTGTTCAAAATAACAAAAAGTGGATTATAACGCACTAATTCATCTAAATTTCACTGATTTAAATTTAGCAGTGGAAAATGTATTTTTGTTGATGTCAGATATTTAATTTAGAATGAGTCATGATTGGGACAAGTTTAGCAATTTGCACATCGCCAGGAATATTCAAGGTTTTTTTGGAGAAAATAACTGAACGTAAAAAAAGTAGGTTGAATGTTGCACCGGTCGAAAAACCAGCGAAAAAAGAAAAGCATGATGAGCTCGAACCGTAATGCGGAAGCTTTAGAAAAGAGATAAAAGAAGGCTCGCAAATGCAATTAATCCCTTGCGGAGTAACTCTCAAGGGTAGAGTTTTCCCATATATACATTTGAAAGTGTATACATACATATATGCGTAAAAATGAGTTCGCAGAATAAAAGTCTGTTGAAAATGATGCGCGATCTGCGCCCTCCTTTCTCTCTCTCTCTCGCACTGATCGAAATGAATTTACTGTTTACTCAGGAACAGTTGAGATTGCCCCCAGGGTTCGTTTCTTTATTCGAGAAATATACTTTATGCAGACTAAACTCTTATTCTAGAAGAGGGAAAAACGATTATTTCGAAATCTTCCCTTTTATATATATATATATAATATATAAATATACATATTTTAAATAGTTTAGGATTATTTAAATCCTTCGATAATGCACAATCAATAAAAGATATATAGGTCCTTGCGTTTCATAATGAATTCCTTCCTTTATATCTAGAAATTCCTTCATAGTAAAATCTCAATATGTACGTTTCTAAATATTTCATTTTTAATAATTTTATCTTAAGTTATTATTTCTCGAAATAATGCTTAAGTTTGGTTAAAAGGCACTTCTCTAACTTTCAGGCGGAATTATATTGTAGTTATTGGTCCGTAATATTTCTTAAAAATAAAGAGTAAAATGTTAAAAAATGGAAAATTAATAAACAGCTATACTATAATAGTAGACTTGAGAAATATACATAAGTATTTAAATTTTAATGTAAACTACTCGCTTGAAATTCTAGTACATGACAAGTAAAGGGAGTGGAAAATACTTCAAGTGCGCGCTATACGCATTAAAATTCAACTAGTGTTTTCTTGCAGAATACTCTCCGGATTACACAAAATATTTATTATCTTGAAAATAACAATAAGTAGAGCAGATTTCGCGAGTAAAAATAAAAATATTTATAAAAAGTATTTTTAATTTTTTTAATTTAGATTATTAATAAATTTAGGTCTCATTATATTCTTATATAAGAAGATATAAATCGTAAAATGTTTATTATGAGCTAAGATTTGTTTAGTTTCTTAATATTTCTTAATATCTTTTCTTGAAACTTGGCAAATATTAGCCTAAATATGAAGTGAGTAGCCGGTCTATTATATCGTAAATAGACATCACTTGTAGGCTCACGTCAAAGGATATTGCATTTCTGTAAACAGAACGTTCCCTATTCAAGTCAGTTGTGATTGCAATATACAAAGAGTATAACAGGGATGAAAAAAATGAATGAATATAACAATTTCATGACCGCAAGTAGAAAATTGGTTAATAAATTTTCAGTTTATAGTTAGTTTAATAAAGTTAAATTTTTGTTTGTTAGAAATATAGTTTCCTTCTTATAAAAATTAAATTTTTTCTTTATTTTTACTACAGATAATAAACAGGGTTGCCACAGGTCTTGGAAGTCAGAGAAAAGTCAGGGATTTTTAGTAAAAGTACTGGAAAAAATTGAATTTTAAAAATTCATGAAAAAACTCTGAATTTTGATGTTTTTTTGTTTGCCTCGTAAACTATGAAATTACCACGAATTTTAATACAAAACCTTGAATTTTTTCTATTTCAGACAATAATTTCTTTTTAAATAACTTAATTTTACAAGAACTATCATAAAATTATGACTTATAAATTATTTAATGAATCATTTTTATAATTTTCATAAATTCTAGATTAATAAAAGAATTTTAGTTAAAAATACTAAAAAAAATTAAATTTTGGAAAAGTTACAAATAATTCCGGAAATTCAATTATTTTCAAAAGTAATAAAATTTTTCGCAGAAATTCAATTATTTTTGAAAATTAAACAAAATTCTGGTCATTTCAATTATATCTTTAAAAATAATAAAAATCTCCAAAATTCAATTATGTTCAAAATTTTTTTAAAAATTCTCGTCAAAATTTCAATTTATATCTTTATAAATAACACAATTCTTCTACGAAATTCAATTATTTTTAAAAACTTTAATAAAATTCTTGGCAAGATTTCACAGCAATTCAATAATTTATAAGATTTTTAATTAATTTCTTCGAAATAAATCAATTATTTTCATAAATAATAAAATTTTCACAGGAATTCAATTATTTAATATAAAAAATTTCAAAAAATTTTTCGGAAATTATCAATTATATAAAAAGAATTTTATAAAATTCGTCGCAGGAATTCAATTATTTAAAAAAAATAATTTAACAAAGTTTTTTTCAAGAATTCAATTATTTTTAGAAATAGTAAAATTCTTCAACGAAATTCAATTATATTTCGTCTTCTCGTCCTCTAGGTCAAAAGATGTAGTAACGTTAGTTGCTCGGTCCATTCCACAGATTTTTAAAGTTTCGCGGTTTTTTGTTCCTTACTTACAATTCAGGTGGCGTGTCGACTCCTGCTTACTTCCTGTTCCGTTTTCCTCATTACGTTTTTCTGTGCGGTCCACGCCACATTGTGAATTGTAAAGAATCAAAGAAAATCAAGTGAAAATGAATTCATCCGACGAAAGTAACTCGAGTTATTCGAGTGTTGATAAACGGAGAAAAAAGAAAAAATCAAAGCGTGAAAATAAAGTGTTGTGGAAAGAGATAGATAAGTTAAAAAGAAAATTGAAAAAGAGGCGTCGATCACGTTCTCGTGATTCATCTTATGGAGAAGAAGATAGGAAAAGGCGTCGAAAGGATCATCGTTATTTCTCAAGATCGAGTGTAACCTCTGATAGAGACAACGGTGAGCTAGCTCGTAGAAGTTCGCCACGTTGTAGTCAGAATTCTCAGAATTCTCAAAGTCGCTCGAGAAGCAGAGAAGGCAGCCATCTTGAAAATAAAAGCTTTTCAGAGAAGGACAGAGAGAGCGTTGAGTATCGTCCTAGAGAAATGCCGCGCTCTAGTCAGGTCTCTAAAAGTGATAAAGGAACCAATAATGAATTGAAAGATTCGATTCTCGCATTATTAGGAGAAGACCCTGCCAAAAATACTTGTGTAGGACCTCAGATCCATCGAGCAATAGTGGACCGATGGACAGACATTTTGCAGAACGGATTACCTAAAGACAAAAAAGAGGAAATTTTAAAAAAATATTCACCAGCAGAAAATTGCTCTATGCTTCAGGCTCCTAAACTAGGACCACATGTCCAATCTACGATGAGCACTATTTCAATTAAAAGAGATGCGTATCAAATGTTAGCTCAGAATCAACTTGGCAAGGGTATTTCGGTGTTAGGTACAGTGTTGACAGAAATGGTTAACCTGAAAGATGAAAAAGAAGACCAAGGACAAATTGCTCTGTTCAGTGATGCTGCTCGTATTCTCACAGATCTTTACCATACAATGTCGACGTCGAGAAAATATTTTATTATGTCAGGTTTTAATTCTGCTGAAAAAGCAATAGCGAATGAAAGTAAAATCGACGAATTTTTATTTGGTAAAGATTTCTCCGAGAAAGTAAAGGCTTTTCAGTCGGTTGAAAGGTCAACCAAGAAGTATCCATCGCAGTCATCAACAACAAGCCGTCCAAAAACTGTCACCGGTCATTTAAACTACCAGGGCCCCTCCAGGAGGACTCCGTTCAACAGGAATCAACGGGGGGGCATGGACAGGGGCAAATCGAATTATCGCCAATACAACAACCGGCCGATGCGACGTTAAGCGTAAGTACACCAGGTCGTTTAAAACTTTTTTATAATGATTGGAAGTGCATCACCTCTGACAAATTTATCCTGCAAACAGTGCAAGGATATAAAATTCCTTTTTTCAAAGAGGTCGAGCAAGTTAATCCACCAATCTTGCCAAAGTTTTCAACTGAAGAATTTCAGGATATTTCTCATGCAGTAAATATTTTACTAGAGAAAAAGGCAGTAGTGTTGTGTAAACCCTGTAAAAATCAATTTTTGTCGTCCTATTTTTTAGTTCCGAAACCAAATAATTTAAAAAGGTTTATTCTCAATTTAAAGAAGTTAAATGTTTTCATTGATCCGCCACATTTTAAGTTGGAGGATAGAAAAATAGTAGAGTCATTAATGTTTAAAAATTGTTTTATGGCTAGCATAGACTTAAAAGATGCTTATTTTCTTGTCCCGGTAGATAGAGATTTTAGAAAATATTTAAGATTTGAATTTGATGAAAAATTGTACGAGTTTACATGCATACCATTTGGCTTGTGCGTAGCACCATACCTTTTTACAAAGTTAACTAAACCTGTCGTGCATTATTTAAGAGAAGAAGGTATAGTTTTGGTCATTTATTTAGACGATATATTGATAATTAGCAATTCTTATGATGAATGTATTGATGACATACAAAAAACTAGAAAGTTTTTAGAATCTCTTGGTTTTATATTAAATTTAGAAAAGTGCTCATTAAAACCATCAAAAAGATGCAAGTTTTTGGGTTTTAATTTTAATTCAGAAGAACAACAGGTTGAATTAACACAAAAGAAAAGGGAAAAAATTATTAAAGAATTAGTAGAATTAAAGGCAAATAGTAAACCAAAAATTAGAAATGTAGCAAAATGTTTAGGTTTGTTAATTTCAGCTTGCCCTGCAATAAAATACGGAGTTTTATATACAAAAATATTAGAAAGGAATAAATACTTAGCCTTGGAAAATTCGAAGGGTAATTTTGATAAATGTATGGTACTATCGGAAGAGGCAATGCAAGATGTAGAATGGTGGATTAGACAAGTTAAAATTGCAACAAACCCTATTAGAAAAAATAGATTTGCACTAGAAATTTTCTCAGATGCCTCGTTATCAGGATGGGGAATTTCATGCAACGGCAAAAAATCTCATGGTTGGTGGGATAATAATGAGAAAAATGAACACATAAATTTATTAGAATTAAAAGCTTCTTTTTATGGTCTAAAATGTTTTGCGAAAAACTTAAATTCGGTGGAAATATTATTAAGAATCGACAACACCACAGCCATTGCTTATGTGAATAAAATGGGTAGTGTAAAATATCCTAAATTGAGTAAATTATGTAGAGAAATATGGCAGTGGTGTGAAAGACGAAATATATGGATCAAGGCTTCATATATTCCGTCTAGCGAGAATAAAGAAGCTGATTGTGAATCGAGAAAAATTTCTGAAGACACCGAATGGGAATTAAATGATAAAGTTTTTCGAGAAATTATTCAAGTTTTTGGAAAATTTGATATAGATTTATTCGCATCAAATATTAACTTTAAATGTAAAAAATTTATCTCGTGGTACCCAGATCCAAAAGCAATAGGTGTTGATGCATTCACTTATTGCTGGGAAGATTGGTATTTTTATGCTTTTCCGCCCTTCGCGCTCATTCCGAAAGTATTACGAAAAATTATAGAAGATAAAGCTGAAGGTGTTCTGATTGTTCCGAATTGGCCAACCCAACCATGGTTTCCCCTATTTTATCGTTTAACGATTTCAGAACCAATTTATTTTAACAATATTAACAATTTATTAATTTCTCCCTTCAGGAAGGAATATCCCATGAACCTTTCCCTGGTGGTAGGGAGGTTATACGGAGGGCGTTTGCTGCAAAAGGAATCCCGAAGGATGCCCAAGAAATAACTTTGGCTTCTCTAGCTGACGCAACGCTTAAACAGTACGAAAAGCCGATAAGGAATTGGTGGGAATTTTGCAGAGATCACCAGCTTCATATTTTCGATGCGACGGAATCAAAGATAATCGAGTTTTTAACAAGCAATTTTCAAGAAGATGCTTCCTATGGAACCTTAAACAACTATAGAGCGGCAATTTCGTTGATTGTGAAGGCAGATATCACGAATAATCTAGAGATAAAACGATTTTTTAGAGGAGTTTCAAATTTAAAACCGCAGAAACCCAGATACGACTACATTTGGGATCCGTCTCCGGTACTGAAATTTATTTCTTCGCTAGGCTCAAACGATAAGCTAGACCAAAAACAATTAACAAAAAAGTTAGTGACCTTATTAGCTCTAGTCACTGCACAAAGGGTGCAAACTTTAAGCAAAATCGATATAAATAATATAATTGAAACAGAGAAATATATTCAAATCACAGTACCGGAAAGAATTAAGACATCGGGGATAAATAAAATGCAACCATTGTTAAACATTCCCTTTTTCGAGAAAGATGCCTTACTTTGTGTAGGTCAAACATTGAAAGATTATTTAAAACTGACGGAGACTATCAGGCCAAGAGGGGAAAAAAGGATGTTTATAAGTTTCAAGAAGCCTCATAGAGCAGCGTGCAGCCAGACCATCAGCAGATGGATAAAAGAGACGTTGGAGGAAGCGGGTATTGATACACAAGTATTCACATCGCATAGTACCCGTCATGCCTCTACATCCGCAGCGTTAAGGAGTGGAGTCAATGTAGAGGAGATCAGAAAGGCCGCTGGATGGACACCGTCCTCAGAAGTATTTGCACGTTTCTATAATTGTCCACTAAAGGACCCTACTCAGTTTGCAACAAGTATTTTAAATACTTAAGTTTATTTAGTTTGTTAACAGACTCAAAAGTGTTCTAAAATAAAAATAAAGTTTTGTTCTTTCGAAGGTAAAAAATTCTTTTTTAACTCGCAACAGATCCTCTGAAAGTCTACATCTTTTGACCTAGAGGACGAGAAGACGAAATATAATTGTAAAATCAAACGAACTTACCTAAGTGAAGTTCGATTTCAATTATATGAGTCTTCTCGTCCGAATAGGTCAAACCCACCCTCAAAAATAAATAAAATAACCCAACCCTTTATAAAAATTATCTGTCGCGAGTTCAAGACTCTAAAAGTAATGAGGAAAACGGAACAGGAAGTAAGCAGGAGTCGACACGCCACCTGAATTGTAAGTAAGGAACAAAAAACCGCGAAACTTTAAAAATCTGTGGAATGGACCGAGCAACTAACGTTACTACATCTTTTGACCTATTCGGACGAGAAGACTCATATAATTGAAATCGAACTTCACTTAGGTAAGTTCGTTTGATTTTACAATTATTTTTATAAACTTAAATAAAATTCGTTGGAAGAATTAAATTACATATTTTCAAAAGGAATAAAATTCTTCGCAAAAATTCAATTATGTTCAAAAATTTAAAAAAAAATTCTTGTCAAAATTTAAATTATCTTTATAAATAATAAAATTCTTTAATATTCAATTATTTAAAAAAATTTTTTAAAAATTCTCGTCAAAATTTCAATTATTGTTATAATTAATAAAATTCTTCTTCAAAATTCAATTATTTTTAAAAACTTGAATAAAATTCTTGTTAAAATTTCACAGGAATTCAATAATTTATAAAATTTTTAATAAATTTCTTTGAAATAATTCAATTATTTTCATAAATAATAAAATTTTTACATGAGTTCAATTATTATACAAAATTTCATAAAATTTTTCGAAAAATATCAATTATTTAAATAGATTTTTATAAAATTCGTCGCATGAATTCAATTATTAAAAAAAAATTAACAAAGTTCTTTTTAAGGATTCAATTATTTTTATAAATAATAAAATTCTTCACTAAAATTCAATTATTTTAGAAAAATTTTTAATCACATTTTTGGGAAAAGTTTTAATTATTTTCATAAGTAATAAAACTCATCGCAGGATTTTAATTAATTTTTGATACAATATTTTAATCAAATTCCTCGATAAATGTAATTATTCTTGAAAATTTCATTAAAGTTTGTCAAAATAATTGAATTATTTAAAAATTTGTTGATAAAATTCTTTATATGAAAATTCAATTTTAACAAACATTCAACTATTCAATAAATTATTTATTTTTTAATTTAAATAATTGAATTCTTCTAGAATTTTCTTATCAAAATTAATTAAAAAATGAATTACCGAATAATCGATTTATTATTTTATGAAAATAATTTAATTATTGCAACGAATTTTATTACAATTTTTTCAAATAATTGAATTTTTTTGAGAAAATTTACTACTTTTTAAAAATAATTTAATTCTTGCGGAGGATTTTATTAGGATTTTTGATTAGAAATATTCTAAGTTATAAATTTTTTTTTATTTTTTTTTTTTTGTAAATAATAAAATTTTTTTTTGAAAAATTTCATAGTAATTTAAATTATAACAAAACATGAAGAAGGCGATCACTCCGAGTCGAAGACTCGGAGTGATCGCCTTCTTTATGTTTTGCAATAATATTCTTATAAATTGTTGAATTTCAAAAAGGTTTGAATTTGAATGTATTGAAGAATTTTAATTCCTACGGAAAAATAATAATGATTAAATACTTATTTAAAAATTTAGTTATTGATGTTTTTGAATAATTTTACAATTAATGAAATTTGTAAATAAATGTAATAGAACATTTTTTTTGAGTTTCCAATAATTTTTAGAGTTAATCAGAATATTTTTTAGGGTCAGGGAAAAAGTGAGAATTTTGTCTGGAAATCAGGGAAAAGTCAGGGAAAAATAAAATTAAATATTTGTGGCAACCCTGATAAAAATTTGTAGTTCGCTTGAAATGTAAAATGTTAAATGATTTCTCTTAATTTAGCAAAAAGGAATACTAGAATTTTTATTTACAATTATTCACTGTAGGAATGTATTAACTATTGTAGGTCAGTCTCCTCTATATCTTATTTTAAATTAAATTTCAGCTAAAACATCTTTTTATTTGGAAAAAATATCAAGTCAACGGTTTGACACCATTAGAGGGCATTAAAACGAAGTGATTAAGAAAGATATAATCTATATATGTTACAATGAAATATGATGCATAAGGCAATTGAAACCACTGTGTAATAATTTTAGTTGCCTGCATAAAAGTAATTTATCTCTGTGATTTAATATAATTAATTATAGTATTTTTCTATTTTAAAATTTACGTATTAAACAGATCAATGTTTTCATTACTATACAGAGACACAAAAGGGGCCATCATTTATTAAAAATTTAATCTCGTTGTTAGTTTTCGTTTTAAAATCAGTTTTTGAAAAAGTATCACAGTTTTTCTAAGGATATCAAATTGAGACAAAAAAAACGAATCAAAATTGTTGCGAAGCAACATTTTAATTCGTTTTTTGTCTCAATTTGATCTCCTTAGAAACATTGTGATTCAAATAAAAATTAATTCATCGCGTTATGTGTTTAGAAGAATATGTTTATTCCTTATTTAATTTTTTTATATTATAAATTCTTTTAAAAAAAGTATATAGAATTTATTAATTTTGAAGTCGCATTTTCTTTTTGAAATCTATTTTTAAAATATTAGCCAGAGCAAATGTATAGTAAATATACATTCGTTTTTCATTACGTTTATTGAGAACCACGATCGATATACATTAAAGTAGACAATTGTTCACAAATAGGCTGTCACATGTTATTGCAGAAAGTATTTCGTGGAATTATCTCGTTGTAAAAAATGAATTGAACCAGGACAATTTTGTATCTTTTAACGATAATAAATAATATACAATTATTGCTGCTTTTAACAACTTAAATAGAAAAATAATAAGATTCAATTGTCAATTTTCTTCCTTTTGCACGGAAAGACATTTTATGTTAAAAAGCGATAGAAATGGAAGTATAATTTAATATTGTTTTATATTAACCTTTTGGTGCCCCCGAGAAACCCAGCGATTGAATTTTGTTGAAACTTATTACTCCGGGGTTTTTGGGGTCGCTGATTACGAATCTGAAGTCAGATTTTCAAAATTTTCAAAATTCAAAATGGCGGATCCAATATGGCGGACATTTTTTTTTTGAAAATTGCTCGAATTTGCATAAAACTTGTTACTCGGGGGTTTTCGGGGTCGCTGATTACGAATATGAAGTCAGATTTAAAAAAATTCAAAATGGTGACTCCGAGAAGCCACGAGTAACAAGTTTCAAGCGAATTTGAGCAGATTTAAAAAAAAATGTCTAGCATTTTGAATTTTAAAAATTTTTTTAATCTGACTTTAGATTCGTAATTAATGACCCCGAAATCCCCTGAGTAAGAAGTTTTAAGTGAATTTGAGACAATTTTGAAAAATTAGATTTCGCTATTTTCTTATAAATATTTTACCTATTGTTTATAATAATTATAATCGTACTATGTAATTTATTATTTTTTTAATTGTAGTAGCGGCTATTTGGAATAGAAAGAAGTTTACCGCAAATTAATTGGTTGATTTTTATAAGAATAATATACATTTTATTAAGTGGGACATGCATGTCCCGGAGACATGAAAGGTTTGTCCCACCTACAAAAAGCTCAATATCTATAAACAAAATAAATATTTTTCATTCAAATTTAGGGTATTTTCTTCAGCAAAGAGAGGGCTTCAAAAATAGGTATCTAATGTGACACTCAAAAAAATGTTTGGTGTTATCAAAAAAGTTTTTGTAGTCCCTAATATGAATTCTTTATTCATTATAGAAGCAATTAAACCGTTTGGCTCAGACTGCATAATATTCTTGATTCAATACTTTTTGGGACATTAGACTTTATTTTTGTAGTATATTTACGTTTTAAGTGATGGATAACATTGTGCATTATATATATTATTAATTTTATTTCTGAGTTTTCGAGTTTGAAATTATCAAGTTAAAAATTTAATTTCGTATAAACTCAAAACTTTTGATATAATTACATAAACTTGATTATAATAAGCGGTCATTTTGTTTTCCCCTTTTATGAAATTGATCATTTCGCATCAATTTTAATTATCATGGAACGCACATGGTTTATTATAGCAGAAGACTGACGGCAGAATAGACCAGCCGCAGGCTAATCAAAATATCGAAAGCTTGACGGCGCTTGATTAAAGTGATCTTGTTTGATTAGATTTGATGAAGTCTGATATTGAGAATAAAAAAAAAACTGAATATCTTGATTACGTTGAGCTTTACTGTGGAATTTAATAATTAAAGGCTTTTATAAAAGTGACCAATTAAATTTTTGCCTCTTTTCGCTCTACTTTAAATTCCAAATTTATATTTTTATTGATATTGATTTAGCCGCATTCACTCTAATGATGATGCTTATTTTTACATTTAATTTAGGTTCATTTTGAAAAATAGAATTGTGATTTTCAAGTTGAATGGCCTTCCTTGGCCGAAAGTCTTTTTCCTTCATTTTTGAAAGATTTCATATCTGTATTTTGTAGAACGGATAAAATCGGAGATTACTAGGAGCTTCTATATGTATATAAGCTCCTTGTCCGTTTTCAAGTTGTCCCTTAGCTTTCATCCCTTTTTCTTTTTCACTTATATACACTTATCTGTTCTCTTCGAATGGAACAAACAGATTCAAGTGCACACTTTTATACTGTCGGTACGTTGCGCATTCTCAAGCACCAATTCAATTGAATAACGCATTGAAATTGCCCGATTTAACCCGAAATGGTAGCGCATGATGTTTTCAAATGTCTTCAAATTATTTGATCATATACACATACATAGGTATGTACTCCGAAATATATACAGACTTTCAAATAGATTTTTCGTCCTGTTTTTCTCTTTTTTATTTAAATTTTTTAATTACAAAAGTTTATTTTTAAATACTTCATTATTTATAATTGAATTTTGAAAAATAAAAATTATTTCTTATTCTCATTATTGTTTGTCAAAATTTAATCAATGATTGTAAGTATAAATATTTTATATACAAATGGATTTGAAAAGAATTTTTTTTATTGAGACTTGAGAAATTCAGCAGAAAAATACTCGCAATCTTATTTTTCTATGACGCGAAAGTTT